TTCTAATATCTTTGTAGAAAATTGTACTTCGTAGAAAATCATAATGTGAAGAGGTGCTCAAAGAGTATGTGGTAAAAAAACAATACAAAAGCAAATTACAGAAATGTTAGGCACTAACATTGATAGATTATTAGTTTACTAATAAAGATTATTTAAATTTTTATTTTTTTTGTTGTGTTTATAGTACTAAGGAATTTTTAGATTGTTGTGATTTGTTTTCTAAGTAGACTTTTGCAATTAATTTTTTATTCTTTCTCTTAAAGAGGGACTCTGAATTGTATAAACTTCAGGGTCCGTCCTTTGGTATCAGTGTTTGATCTGAAAAATGTTGCCAGGTAAACATACTTTTTTTTTTTTTCTTCTTTTTTTGGCCATGCAAGGCATAGGCTTTGAATTTGCTGATTGGGTCATGAAAAAGAGTGTTAGCATCTCCTAGGAACTTCTCTTTGGGTTGAGCTGGCAGAATAACTCCACAAGTGTCTTTAGCAGCCTCAAGCAAGAGCTTCTCCTCAATAAGCAATGCTGTGAAATATGATCCAACATCTTGTCTCATTAGAATATTACTTTCTGTGTTGCTGCACTAGGAGTTAGGAAATATATATTAGTGACACTAAGAAATGGTGTTTTAGATTTCATGAATCTGGGTGGTCCTTGAAATAGTTTTATTGAGAAGCTTATGGTCCGTGGAGGCAAAGGTTATTGGTGAAAAGAGCAAGTGAGTGACAAGGAGTCACAAAAAAGGAGACAAGTCTTGGTTCCACTGAATGGTCAATGGACAATGAATACCATGGGCAAAAGATACTACTTTCCAATTCACAATCTGTGTGGTCCCTAGAATTAGCTGTTTCAGAACCAGAAAAACTGCTTGAGAAAGTGGTTTCAAATAGTCATAAAAAATTATGCATTGGACCCCTACTGTATGTCTGGAATTGAGCGGGTACTGGGAATATATCAGTGACTTAGGTTATGGTCTATCCCCTTACAGAGCTAAACAACTGGTTAGGAAGACAAGAAACTGATATTAGAATGCAAATTTTAAGTTTATGACATTGCCTTTTTATTATAGTTCAATAATGGTTATTTCATAGGATTGGCAGTTTCATATGATTGAATATCAGTAGTCTCACGCGGTTCAACATGAATAGCTACAGAGGTAATATTTTTCCATTTAGTGGGCCAGTACCTGGTTAATGAATGCAAGAAGTTATCCCCCCAGTCAGTTTGATAACTGATCAAGAAAACTCTTCCATACATTGCTGAATACAAAAAGTGAGAGTGAAGGAGATGGTGGTGAGGTGTCATCTGTCATTTTTAAATCCTTGCAGTTTTTACGGAAATCAATTCAGGCTTGGTTGACTGAAAAATATCCCCAGAGGAGGTGGGACTTGAGCTGGAAACTGAAGAGGACTGTGGACGCAATTAGCTGGAGGAAGTATGTGAGTTCATTCTTCCCTCTACACTTTGCAAAAGTGAATGGGGTGGAATGGAATTGCAACAGGGTTCAGGCAGGGAGGAAAAGGACAGAAAATAGAGAAAAAGAGTATAACTTTGGTGAAGGGACTGGGGATAGGAAGGGGAAGGTGGGCTATGAGCCAGAAATAAAAAAATAAATAAAAATTTTAAAAGTACAAGGTCAACCCATGAAGATCCTTGAGTGAGCCTGGATGTTATTCTGAAGGTAATGGACATTCCTGGAAAATTCAGGAAAGAGTGTTTCAGGAAAACTCCCCTGGGTTCTTGGTTTCTGCATTCTGTACTCCTCCCGGAATTCATGTTCTAACAACTGCAAACCTGCCCACAGGCAGGTGAATTCAAAACCCTGGAGACAAATTATTTGAGGGGCTTGGGTTGGCTGTTGTGTACCAAGAGGGCACAGCAAGTCTGGGGTGCTTCAGCCCTTCCCAAAAGGAGTGAAAGATCAGCTCTAAGTCTTAGAAAAATAGCGGTACCATTACTTAGAAGGACTAATTTGCATGTGAATACACTCTATTTGTGTTTTCACACAATGCTTATGTGTTTGTGTGTGTTAAATATGTTAGATTCAAAGCTTAAACCCTAGAAAAACCAGGACACACGGAAGAATTACTGTAGTTCAGAATTATGAGTAGTCTGGTCTATAGGACAGCAAAAACAAATCTGATGTCTTCTACGGACTAAAGTTCCAAGCCACTAGGTATATCCACTTCACACAGCCTTCTCTTTGTGTGGTCACTTCTCAGGAATGTTGGTGAGAAACAACCAATATGAAAAGGTTCCACCACTGTAATATTCTAGATATTTGAAAAGACAATGTATGAGAATGAAAATGATGCATATACAATAACATTAATATAAAAAGTAAACAATACCACAGATGTTGATAAGTGCTATTAAAATATAAAACAGTTCAAGAGGAAGAGAAATGAATGGATGTTTGCCTTTTCAAAGAGGGTGGGTTTGTAAATGCCAGGATATCCAGTTTCCTTTAGGGATTATTCACCGGTCTCATCATCTTCTCTTCTCGAGGTATTTAAATAACAGGATCCACTTTAATAAAAAATGTCAAACTCCTCACGCCGTCACTAGCTGTTAGAAAAGCACGCGTATGGTCTGCACCACACAATTTAGCCGCGAACAACACCTGCCTTGCTTTGCTTTTTATTGTGTTAGGCGTCAGCCTCTTGTGCTCAGAATAGATTTTAAGCTCCTTGAAGGCAAGAAAGAAACCGGCTCCAGACTGCGCCCGGCACGCAGAATGCTCGTAGGAAGCACAGGCTGATTTATGGAAAATACAGCAAGGGTCTTCCATTTCGAACTACAGCTCCGCCTTGGAGATGCTTTCCGCAGCCCGCGCGGCCGCCCACGGGGGGCACTGTCTCGCTCCCCTCGCCCCGGAGCCGCTGTCCCTCGGTGCTGTTCCCCGCTGCGGCCGGGAGGAGGCGCCACGGACTCGGGCTAAGCCTTGTCCCCCTTCCGTCCTCCTTCCTACCCCGCTTCCCCAGCACATGACGTGGGAAGCTGCCTCCGCCAGAATCTTAGCAAGAGGAGTGAGGGGGTGCAGGGGATTGGGGGTGGGGTGGGGAGGGGGGTGTGGAGAAAGAGGACACGCGTGCTCACACCCGCCCCCGGGAGCAGAAGCAGCATCTTCCCCAGCTTCGTGGGTTCCTCCTCCCACCGGAGCCAGGGTGTGAGAGGTAGGGGGGCGGGGGTGTGCCTGTGTGTGTGCGCGGCACGTTTTTGAGTGTGAGACCCAAATTCAGACCAGGCAACCTGCGCTCCCCGCGCCTCCCCCCGTCCCCGGTGATTAATACCCATTTTTCTGACGCTCCCCTCCTCCCCTCCTGCTCTGCCTCTCCGGCTGCCGCGCGGTTGACTTGCACAGCCTGCCCCCGCCCGCTTCCCTTCCCCCGGCTCCGCTCCTCACCAACTGGAATCTGGGCTCCTGCCTCTCCACCCCCCCACCTCCTTTTGAGAAAGGAAGGTTCCCCCCACCCCCTTTCAAAAAGCACTTCCTCCGGCTTCTTCACCTCTAGGAAATCTCGGGGCTTCGCTCTGTCGAGAGTGCTCATCACCACCATCCAGAAGTGCTGGCGTCCGAATGCACATCCCTTTGCCTTGCAAAGAAGAGTCGTGAACTTCAAAACCCCCGAGACGGATCATTAATCCTGCTTTGCAGGAAAGGAAAACCCTCCATCCCCAGCCACCCGCCACCCCTCTCCGGAGACTGCAACGGCGGAGGCGCTCGAAACCGGTACGTAAAGATTCGCTTTGGAGTCTCTCCTTTCAGTGTAGGGGTTTGGGGGTGTCAGGCAGATAAAGGGTCGAAGACGTGAAACCGTGAACCAACCTGGCATGAGGCAAAGCTCTGAAATCCAGCACAACCCCGCGCTTGCTAATTTGGACGTGGCTTTTTTTTTTTTTTTTTTTTTTTTAAGGTTTTCTTGGTGTGTGTGTGGGGGAGGGGGTGCTGTGACTGGGTAGGGCTGTCTCTGGTCTTTTGGGGGGTTTCATCCCCTCACCCAGCAGACAGGCAAGGCAGCGGCGCCAGGGCCGGACCCACGCGCCGAGCCCATCCGTCCAATCGACACGTTGCAGGTGAAGCCCGGTGCGCTGCACCCCAGCGCGGCGGCAGTGTGAGTGTGCGCGGGGGTGAGTGTGCGCGGGGGTGAGTGAGTGTGAGTGCGCGCGGGGCGCGTGCGCGTCGGGGGCGTGTGTGCGCGCGTGTCAGTGTGCCCCTTCCAAGAAATGCCCAGTGTGCACCCCGTGCACAATCAGAACCCATTCAGCAGGAGCTCGGGGTGGGAGGCGGCGCTGCTGCTGGAGGCGATGGGGAGAGCGAGACAGACATGTCAGCAGCAATGCAGATGGGGCTGGGGGCCGCACTCGCTGGCGAGTTAAGTGGGGATTGTGTTTCTGCGTGTTTGTGTATGTGTGTGTGTGTGTGTGTGAGTGTGTGCTGCTGCATGGTGCCGCTTCTCCCTCCCTTCCTCCTTCTTCCCACTTCCCTCCTTCGCTCGCTCCCTCCCTCTCTCCTCTTCCATTCAGGTTGGCTTTCCCACCTCTCATCCGTGCCTGTCCCAGGAATGGTATAGCCAGACCTTTTCTGAATTATTTATAGACTGGTACCAGCTGTTTTCAATTCCTCTCGTGTGCACTCTGTGGGAAATGCGGGGTTTCCTCCCCACTTTCCTTAAAACGAATTGATATCTTTTTCGGAATGCATTTTTCTCACCCTCCGGGGGACACGCAAATCAAGCCCTGACCGCCTCTTTTTCCCCCTTAGGAAGGGGACGCTTTGGGAATGACCATGCTCCACCGAGGGACGGAGCCGGCCCCCAGCTTCTCCACACAGAGCCTCCTCCGCTAACGCTCCAAAAACCAAAAACCATAATTGCCAGAAGAAGCGTTAAAAATCTATTCCAGCCACTAACCTCACATGCACACGGAATAATTACTCTGGATTCTGCATTGTGAGCTGCTCTTCATACCCTGAATTACCTTTGAATTAAATCTTTTTTTTTTTTGAATTTACATCTCTTCAAGACACAAGATTAAAACAAAATTTACGCTAAATTGGATTTTAAATTATCTTCTGTTCATTTATCCTTCGTCTTTCTTATGTGGATATGCAAGCGAGAAGAAGGGACTGGACATTCCCAACATGCTCACTCCCTTAATCTGTCCGTCTAGAGGTTTGGCTTCTACAAACCAAGGTAGGGCAAATTCTATTTTATTTTTTCCTTACCTGGGGTAGGGATTCTCCTTTTATCTATGTTTTCGAGTCCCTCGAGTGGATCTTTTTGGAAGAAAAGGTCACAAGATATTAAAATAATGCTGTTTGAGGGGAAAGGCTTATTACAAAGAAGGAAATCGCCCATGGTTTTTTCTTTTTATTCTCTCATCAAACAGGTTTTGGCTTTTGAGGGGCAGTGGGGGTGGGTGTATGTAGGCACAAAAGATGTTGGATGGCATCAGGGGGATATAGATAGATAGATAGATAGATAGATAGATAGACAGACACAGCCAGCCAGGAGACCTGTGTGATTTTCGAGTTAAATAGCATTTTATTCACCCAGAACTAAAGCTGCAATTTTTATGGGAATCTAGAAATCTTTTTTTTTTTTTTTTCCAGTCTGGCTTTTTCCCCTTGTCACCTTCATGCCTCTCTCCCTGTCTCCTGTCTTTACCTTCCTAGGCATCCTTTCTATACCCTTTAAAACAGATAAAAATAATGATTGAGATTACTCTGATTGCTGCCCTGAAATCCACTTGCTGTCTAAAGGGTTGACACCGGGCCCAGAGATCCTGGGAGGCCTATTGCAGAGCGGCAGGTCTAGGTGGGGATCGGGCTGGTGTAAGAACACCTGGAATTGAAGGATGCTGCAGGTTAAGAGGACTTAAATCTTAAGCTCGGAAAGGAGGAATTCTGTCAATATTCTGCTTTTAATTTGTATTTTTTCCTGTGCTATTATTTTTGAGCTGTAAATTTCTCCTTCTGTCTACACATCTATTTATACCCACACATCCTCCAAGCAAACTGTTACTTCCACACTCTTGCAAAATGGCTATCTTGCAGAGTTCTAAAATGCTGTGCATGTGGAAGGGGTGCAGAATTCGACACGTGAGTCTTTGTGTTAAACAAAGAGATTTGCTGTTTGCATGTGTTAGTCTTGTACCCTCAAAAATGGAATTAATACTTTAATATTTTCCCTTTCATCAATTTTTACAATATGTGAAATGTGATTAGGCAGTATTTTAATGTACTTGAGAAGAGAAATAGCAGGAGAAATGGAAAAGACTGATGACTCTTCAGCTAGTCCCTCATGCAATCCAAGACAACTCTTGAGAAAATCAAGATAATTCATGGGTCGGAGGGCCACGATGGTGAGTGGGCTGCTCCTTTTCTTGCTCCACTGACCATACTTTCCTGAACTCTGAAGGCGTCTAAATGCAGGGATCAGATTGGGATAAAGATCTCCAAAACCATGTAGCAGAATCAGTAGCATCATTATTCTTCCTAAAAGTATTACCACCCTGCAACACACACAAATTTTTTTCTGGCATTTTAAAACAACAATTCTTTGATAATTCAAAATACTGAGAGGATGTGGGGAAGAGGTGGAAGATCTTTGTCGCTCAACATGACAGCAAATGATAGTTCTTCATTATCCAGAAAGAGCAGATGTAATCCAAATTCACTAACCCCCTTCCCCAGGTTTCATTCTTTTGAGCTTTTATTGTTGAAATGCTACTCTGTAGTCATGGTGTAATCAGAGTGAGAGGGTGGGATCCCACTTTGAACCATGTTCTCACCATGTCTACAAATAGCTGAGGTTATCTGGTGTGCGCTCACCTTAGAGACACCTGAGCTCATTCCCCATCTGCTTCCACTCCAAGTAGGAGGAGGAACTCTTAATTTGACTTCAAAATAGAAAAGAGGTATGGGTGAGAAAGGCAGCTCCATGTGCAATGCTTTCATACATACAGATGGACGAGGAGAGAAGGGCATTGCTGAGGCACAGGGCTCCTTTGGCATCCCCAGTGCCACGACACCAGTGCCCCGCACCCAGCAGGTCCTTTGGCACGTTTGTTGGTGATGGGGTTGACAAAGGGGGTTGTTGGACGGTATCTCAGCTACTTCATTTATCTTGAATGCCCACGGATGAAGCCAGGTTCCAGGCTCTCATTAGTTGTCCCTAAGACTAGGTGAGGTTGAGAGGGGAGGGTGTTGAGGAAGAGAGGGAAAAGTGGGTGGGAAAGCTATAAAGGGAAAGGAGAAGTGATCCACCTGGAAAGGGTTTGTTAGGATTCAAGGTGGAATCGCCACAGGTGGTCTGTGCCTCTTCACCATCCAAAGCCATTTCGGAGACCCTGATAAGGAAGCAGGTGTTCCCCATCCTCGCGCCCAGTGTCTGTGAGGCTGTGACTCAGTGGTGTTCTGAGCCGTCTCAGGCGCATTGTTCTCGTCCCCCTTTTGCCCCCTCACTGTACAGAGCTGACTGGGTTCTATTTTGTCTTTTCTCCTTCAGCCACCCGCCTTACAATGTGAGTGACATGGGAAAAAAAGGTGGCTGCTGGTGGGAGGAAGAGCAAATTTAATTTCAATTGAGGAGCCTCCATGATGTGCAATTAAGAAAAATAATAATAATGGGAAATGAAGACTTCCCAGGAAAACACAGTTAAGGATGTTAGGTGGGTGATTTCAAGAAAAGCAAAACAACATGGTTATCTTCTGTGTCTGTGTTTCAGGTGTGGTAGAGCATGGCGGATCTGTGAACACAGTGATATGGCAGTTTAGAGTTAGGTGTTACATGAGGAGAGGAGCAGGGAGTGCCACTGGATTGTCTAATTTTTCCTCTCCCATTGGTTCCATCCCTAGGAAGCCTGTCTGTCTGAAGATCCTTGTTTTGCTAACGTATATATGCAGTTTTTGCCAGGGATGGATGCAGACAGAATAAAGAAGGTAAAATGACAGGAAAGGAGGGGAAAGAGAAAAAAAATCCTCTCTTCAGTACTTTGCACACCAAGTGCTTTTCTTTAAGGCTGATTGAGAAGAGCGACTTCCTCTGGGGAAGGGAGGAAGAGCAGGAACCTGATTTGTGTTCTTGGTTTACCTCCAGAAAGATAGCTTCGGAATCTTGATCATCTTCCTTGACCTTCATGTACACGCACCCAGCCTTGTGTGGGGAGTGGCAGGGGTCACCTGGGAGGTGGACATGTGGACTGAAAATGGGTGGTGGAACGAGTGGTGTTTGACGGGGAGAAACAGGACTGAGCTGATCCAGCCCTTGGCCACAATATTAACTTGTGAAACATTCTTCCAGTTCCTCCGTGAACACAACACACCCAGGGGACAGGATTGTTTTTTCTATATTCTTATTTAAGAATCTGAAAATGAACGTGACATATCTACTACTACTAACAGGTTAAACAAAAAAAAAATTGTTAATATTTATGGTCTATAAAAGGAGACAGGTGAAAGGACAGATTGTATGGGAGGAAATCATAGCCCCAGATCAGCGTCTAGAAGCCAGGGAAGAGAAAAAAGCCAGGATCGAACTCACCATTCTAAAGGTGGGAAAATCATTGTTCCAAAGGATAGCCTTGTGTCTTTAATAATGAAGACTGGGGCTGACAAAACCACTTACCTTGTGTATCTTGTTGGAATCAAAAGTGAATGAGCTGGAAAAATTAAGCTGCTTCTTTTCCTCAGTGTGATTCTATCCCATCCTTAGGAATTCTAGAAATTTCTTTCACTAAACTACATTTTCAGTTACTGCTCTGGTGCATGACTGGATACCAGCATTGTCTCTCACTTTAAATAAATATAGATCAAAAGAGAGTGGTCTAATGAATTGTTCACATTTATTAAAGTGCATCTCCTCTTTGCAACCACAAGAAGTCGTCTCTGGGGAGAGTAGATTAGTGGTTGAATTGATGTTATCTTCCAGAAGGAGGCCAAAGCTAGAACAGAATGTAGTCAGGATGAAAGAGCAGGCATAGCTCAGAGAAGGTGGGTTTCTGAGGTTCACCTGCGGCTATTCATGGTGCCTGTGGCCATTACACAGAATCCATTGTGCCATGAACTTTTGGGGGTATTGTGAACCCATCGAGATGTGTTTATGAACCTTTGGTTGTTTTCTTGATGTTCTCCAACTGCCTTATTTTTGGTCTTTTCACTTCCTTGCGCTTTTGGCAGAGGTTGGCAGAGAAGGGACCTGGTGCACGTCTATGTTGTCCCACTGGTGAATCTCTCCATGGCTGCCCCAGGCTGTGGGATTGCCTTCCTTTCTGGTCTTCACCAGCATGTGCTCATGCTTCTTAGTTTATCCTGATTTTGTTTATATGCTGTTTCCCTAAGAGGTTTGTGAGCTCCTCAAGGGCACAGAGGTGTTTTCTTCATCTTAGAATCATCTGTGCTTAGCATAGTGACTAGCACATAATAGATCCTCAGAAAATGTTAAATAAATGAAAGGAGAAAGAAAGTGAGATATTAATTAGTCAAGGATGTTACATGTGGTTTGTTCTGTTGGGTTTAGGAAGGGTTAAATTTACGCCGTTAGATGAGATCAAGAATATCAGAGCTATGTGACACTTTAGAAAACATCTACTTTGAACTTCTCATTTAATAAAGAAACTGAGATTCAGGGACATTAAGTGATTTTCCTAAGGTTGTATAACTTCTTAGTGCTAGGGCTTTGCACTCCATGCACTAGCATTCTTAGGGTGAAATGTAGAGGTTATCTGTGGATTTTAAATGTCTACATCAGTGCTTCTCTAACTTTATCATATATTGAAATCATCTTGAGCTTTTGTGAAAAGGCATATTCTAATTCAGTAAACCTGGGCTGGGCCTCCACATTTTGCATTTCTAACAAGCTATCCTTTGATACCAGAGTTGCTGGACAGTGCCTCACAGGTCCACACCATGCCTGCATTTAATTATAGACCATGGTTAGTGGTCTTGGCACTAGATTATTGGCAGGTCTGCTCATATTCTACTTTTGGGATTCCAGCACTTCTGCTTTGTTAAAAAAAAAAATCAGAAAGAAACCTGTATACTTCAAGTTCACCCATCTCCTCTCTTCTTTCACTCTTTCACCTGCGCAATCTTTTGCCTGCTGTCTTCGTTCTGTGCTCTTTTATTCTTGTCCTTCTCATAACTGAGTCTTCTCTTTCTTATTTTTCTTTTTACTTCCGCCCACTTTTTAGT